GGTCCCAAGGAACTACCAAGAGGGGCTGAAACGGACCAGAGACATTTTGGCTAGATCTGCACTTCTAGGCTTGTGAAGGAGCCAGGAAGCTAGGGCCGAAACTGACCAGATACATGACTAGATTTAAGAAGGAGGGAGAAGTGGCACACATATACATAGAGGTTGAAGAAGTAGAGAGTAGCAAACCCCCACGGACACAATTTACACTGACAGAAGTGTTCTTGTATGTCAACACAATTCAAACATTTTGTCATCCAAGTTTAAATAAATGACCCTCTGGTGGAAAAGTAAAATACTTCACTTGTGATCAAACTAACACAATTTCCTGTCAAACGATCTGCACTTATGTACGTTGTGTAGCCACTTTTTTTAAAAAAAATTGATTTAAAAACTGATTCAAAGGTTTAGCATCTAGAGTTTTTCCCTCTAGCATAATGGTGCTCTGACAAAGTTTATAGAGACAAACACTTTCAGAATATGAAGTATAAATTCTAATGGAAACATAATATTTGAAAAAAGGAAGAAAAGATTAAGAGAGTTGAATATGATGTGGGGGAATGAAAAGGAAAAAGACAAAGAGCAAGATGTAAAAGAGTTGTCAAAAGATGAAGCAGAGCCAGAGTGGAACAGTCCAGTCAATGTAATTTAAGTGTTTTAAATGGGAACAGATACCTCTATTAATAGTATGTATGCATTTGACGTTTTTATGGGGTAACCTGATAGAACAACGTAGAGGCAAATATTACTGGGCAGAGGCAAAAAGATTGCCATAGGTCACATTCTATTAGCCATGGCTGGTGCTGGCAGTGGACCCAGCCCATGCTAGAATCCTCCCTCATTCCACAGAGACAGATTCCACCCAGCCAGCCACAAACACAGAGACCTTCATGAAAGTACCTGCTAAGTAAGGGTGGACAGGGATTCTGTGCACCATCCTCCTTGTCACCATCTTCCTTGCCAAATAGCATTTGATGAGTTGTTCAGTGCACAGTTTGTATTGGGTGGATGATGCATAGAAGGGGTCAATACCATGGATTTCCTTTGTACTTGTATCTCATGTTGCCACCAGCTGACTGAATGGCTGAGTAGCCGATGTGAATGGGCTACACTGAAGGCCTCCAAGGGCCATATATGGTATGCATCTGGGCTTGACCTCTGTAATGCTGATGTGGGAATACTATGGGCAAGAATAGAAATCTCCATGTGAAGGCAATTCATAAAACTCAAAATGTGTGTCAATTGTGATGCTGCTTTTTGAAGGTGGTGCAAATTGCAGCAGCTGGCCACATGTTCAGCCCCTTGTGGTAGCACCCATTCTTAGAAATGAAGCCTCCCTTAGAACCAGCGTTCACTACCTTATAGGTCTTCACGTCTTGATGAACTCATATGAGGACTCCTATATGGGTGAACCAGAGCACATACTTAATAGAAGTTCCACAATCTTACCTTCTCCACCCAGAACAGCAGGACTGCTCACTGCCTAAAAAGAGTTTCAGAAGCCGTTTCCAACGCAGGGTGAGAAACAAATTCAGGCAAACAAATAAGAAGCTCTGATGCCCATGTATATATGTATATAATATCTCAGGTTCAAGCACGCACAGAGTTGTATGTGTTTAAGCACAAGTTCTCTGAATGCAGCTATTTTCTTTTATACTGAAATCTGGATTCTAAGGATTATATTCATAGGAAATTTTGCCATTTTGCATAATGTGGCCCTTTTTTCTTCGAAAAGAAAATACAACTCTTTTATTATCAGGAAAGTACTTGGCAGATGAATAAATAAATGTCTTAACATATTATCCAAAACCCATTGTAAGCAATGAAAAAACTCTGGTTTAAGAGTTTTTGTTTCTTAAAATTGTAGAAACCTGTTAAGCATAGCTACTTGGCAGACATGCTGCATGAGCTATCAAAGTAAAGGCTGAATAAATCAAACTGACAAAAAGTTTGCCCCACATCTCTGTCAATGAGTATTTCAGAATGCTACAAGAAAACAGGACTGGTAGCTCTCCTTGCTACTCTCACTGAGAAATGGAAAATGAATAGAAAAAACATTGATGTCTAGGATTGAAAGAGGTGCCATTATCAAAGTTCTCTGTACAGTGGTATAGTTCCAAGAATCGAAAAACTGTTAGTTTGGAAGAGGTAAGTGTCATCTAGTCCAACTCCCAGGGAAGCCAGAACAAAAGCACATCACCATTTCACATTCTGTACTGGTTGTGTTCTCTTGCATGAAAAGGGGTGTGCCAGATGACAGTAGTCATAGCTCCCTTCCCCAGGTATGGAGAATCGCTATTTGAAGATAAACCTTCACTTGACCATTGACAGTTTTAGGGACTTTACAACAGTAGCTCCCAATCTTGGGTCCCATCAGCCTTCAACACTAGCTGCACTGGCCAGGATCCCTGGGAGTTGTAGTCCAAAAACATCTGGAGACTCAAGATTGGGAACCACTGCTGTACAGGTACTGTGTTAATAAGGAACAGGATTTCTCAGAATTACAGAACTGGAAAAGACCCCGGAAGCCATCAAGTCCAACCCACTGCCATGGCAGAAAATCCATAGCTAAAACATTTGTGACAGACGGCCATCCAAATGCTCTTTAAAAACCTCAAAGAACGAGGAAGCAAGGCCATCATGACACAGCTCTTACTGTCAGGAAGATCCTGCTAACATTTAGCTCAAATCTCCTCTTTTGTAATTTTAATCCAGTGGTTCAGATCCTCCCCTATGGAACAGCCCCCTTCTTAAAAAGCTTGCATCATCTTACTCATGACAGCCCTTCAAATATTTGAAGATGGGCTCTCAGATTTCTTTTCTCCAGGCAAAATATAGCCAGCGTCCTAACTATTCCTGCTTGATTTCCAGATCCTTACTATTTTCTCTGGGCATTATCCAGCTTGTCAATAGCTTATTAAAACTATGGTGCCCAAATATGGACACATTAATCAGGGCGAGGACTCACTGAAGCAGAATAGGGACCATTAGTTCCCTTGATCTGGAGACTATACTCCTTTTGATGGAGTCCAGTGTTGAATTAGCTCCTTTTGTTGCCACATTACTTTGTTGGCTGCCGTTGCTGTTTTGCTTGCGGGTTCTTTTCACATGTAGCTAGATATCACTAATCCTGTATTTGTGTATCTGAGATTTGCCACCTAAATGCAGAACTTTATATTTTTCCTTGCTGAAACAAATTTTGCTGATTTTGACCCAGTTCTCCAACCTGTTAAGGTCATCTTGGATCCTGATTATGCCTTCTGAAGTATTAGCTACCCCTCCCAATTTGGTGCCATCAACATCTTTGATGAGCATGTCCTCTACACACTCATGTAAGTCATTCATTCAGTTATCCAACCCTTCAAGTTATCGTGAATCTTCTGTGCTTGGAGGTGATGGGTTTTGGAAGCTGTAGTATAAGAAATTGGACTGATCTATATCTAGTCTTGCACTCAGTAGCATATTGCTCTTTAGTTCAGATTGTATGCGCTTCCTCTGAATCTCCTGTTTTACTTGTGGATTTTAGTTGAGGAAAAAAGTAGATTTCACCATCCTGAAATTTGGATAGCCCTGTAGCATGCTACAACAAAGAGCATAATATTATGTCTTATTTTTCTCAGTGTTGTCTTGCTTATGTTACATTCCTCCAGCTTCCAGAAAGAAACCACTATGGTAAATTGACTTGAAATCTATCTATCTATTTATTTCATTTAAAATATTTGTACCCCATCTTTCTCCTTAAAAAGGATCCAAGACAGGTTACATCATTAAAATACAATATTTAAAAGCAAAAACAGTAAGTATACAAATACAGTAAATAAAATCAATGCTAAACATACATTTAAAAGCAACAAGGCACAACATGTCTAACTGAACAAGTCAGCAATGTTGTAGAACAGGCACAATTTTAATACATAAACTGCTGCCGATGAAAGGTTTTTAAGGGGAGACTTGTTCTTTTAACTTTTTAAAAAATATGTGTTTTTAACTGGTTTTCACAAGGTTTTATTTTGTACCTTTTAATAATTAATGATCAAAATCCTATTGCTTAACATATTAGATCTCAGCATATTAAAGTAAATCACTATCAGAGTAGGTTCACTTGAATTGGTGGAACATAGGCGGGCGGATTTGATTCACCAAATGCCCATTGATTTTATGGACCTACTCAAGTGTGATTTACTATGCTAAGCAGCAGGATTTGGGCCAAGATGTTTAACAGATTTTCTTAATAACATCATTTTTGCAATAATATAATTGTTATATTTGTAATTGTTTCAGTATTTGTATTTTTAAATCATTTGTATGTGTCTTTGAGTCCCTCTACAAGAAGGAAGGTGGTGGTAAAATATAGATAAGTAAATAGTAAAACAGAAGGGGCCGCAATGTGTCGGGAACATGGTTCTATGATATACTTATGTTTATTTTATACAACTTACAAACAATGCAAGAATCAAGATAATTCAAAACTAACATTAGGGAGAAACTATGAGAAATTGCTTCTCTTGCGCTGACACTTTTTTTTTTTAAATTAAAATAGCAGATGAAAGAGACACATTTTGCTTCTTCTGGAAACATTACCTTTAGGTAGCCAAGATCTGTCCTGCTGTTTCACTTCTATTTGAACACCACCTTAGTGAAAGACTATTGTATCAGAAGTTGGCAGAAAATCTAGGGAATATTCTGAAGAACAGGGAGGACCACATCCTTCTTTATACAGTATTATGCAATCTCCTGACCACGAACTATGCAGGTAGAGTGTCCTTTAGGGATGATTCCACATTAAATGGCAGCATTTGCAAGCAGCATCCAGGAGAAGATAAGTAGATTTCCTGCTACTAATGAGTAAAAGCCCTGGTAGTTCATTTTAAATGCAGATCAAAAAACAGAAGAACATCTGAAAGCCTTCTCTCCCTCCCTGCCACACACAAAAACTCCAAAATTGAATCCGTTGTATTCTTCCTAACCCCCTAAGGAACATTCTGTCAAAGTCAAGTTCTAAATCACAAACAACTACGTCACCAAACAATCTCCTCACACAGGACATCTGTGCAAAAAGACTACCACTATATGCAACAGTTGGCTGTCTGCTTAGCTTTCTTGATTGGCAGCTAAACTGTCCACTTTGTCCTGACTGCCTAACTTATAGAGTTATACTTAACCAACAACAGCAGTTCACTACAGTGAGTTGCACAATTAAAGTTATGCACACATTAATCACCAGCAGGAATCTGGTCATTGTTTTAAGTGCCTTAGTCAACGTGAGGGTTTCATGTTTATGCTGAAGCAATCGTAATGTTAGCACTAGATCCACTTCCATGGGTCGGGTACCATAGCTGGACTGCCATCGCTAAAAGGATTCTTTGCATTGTTGACACCTGATACACCTGGATTGACCAACTGAAAAAGAGAAGGACAGTTAGTTGTGCAGAGGGAGAATTTTCTGCAGGTGTGGCTTGCCTGAAAGGCCATTGAAATATCTGCTTCTAAGCAAGTATTACTGGTAAAGAGACCCTCTCCTCTTCTTCATTTGATCACCATAACTGTTCTATGATACTTGGAGAACAGCCATCCATTGAAGTTCTTATGTCATGGACAGGCTGATGCAGAAAGACATGCTCCTGCAAATATTTGTGTCCTAAGAAGTCTCCCATACTGATAAGAACCAAATCTCAGGGTGGCTAACTCAGTTGTTTTCATTATTTATTAAAGAAAACCAAAGTGGCAGAATGGGGTCCAAATATACTACAATGGCCCCCATACCAAGCAGTCTGCATCGTACAATGTTACAACCCTCCATTAATGAAAAGGTCTCCATTTTTCAAAGGGATTGTGTACCCCATAGCTCTGTGAAGAAACACACTGCTCCCATATATACTCCTATACTAAGGTGCACAAGATTGGATTGGCTGAGCAAGTTTCCCACAAAGGGATCAGCACAGTGTGTAGAAATCCCTTGGAAATGGCCATTGGGACACAATCGGCTGAAGAAATAGGTTCCTGTTTTATTATCCTGTATTGAGGCCCACAATATTTTCCATAGATTACCTTCAGAAACAAGCCTGAACTAGGACACATTAGTTCGGAATGCTGTAATTGAATTAAATGCTTAATCAAGCAGCTGCACTTTTCAAAATGTGCCTCCAAGGTCTTTGTCATTATCACCTCAGACAACAGAAAGAGGAATGATAAGCATATGGTCCAGTGAGGAATCTCCAGGATGACAGAACAAGCCAAATGAAAGTGTAGCTAAGGACAAACACCGCCTTCACTCAGCTGCAAACTATTGCCGAGCTATTGCTTTGTGTATGGTGCATAGTGCCATTCATTATGACTGTTGCTATTACATGGCAAGGGGCTTGCCAAAGACCAGCTTGCCTCTGCTTGTTTATCAGGTGTTTAATTGGCCAAAGTTTGGCATGGCATAAACGCAAGGACCTGCTAAATTGTGTTAAAGGGGTGACTACGAGTTCTGGTTCTAAATTTGGCAACCCTACATGAAAACCATAAAATTACAGTGGTGCCTCGCTTAACGAGTGCACCGTTTAACGAAAAATCCGTATAGCGATCCCTTTTTGGGGATCGCTATACGGATCAGCCCCAATCGCCGCACTCGCTTTGCGACGATTGGGGCTCCGGTGGCCATTTTGGAGCCGCCGAACAGCTGATCGGCGGCTCCATCAGTTCTTTTTGCATCAAAAGGTTTCCAGAGTTTGGAATGTTTCTAAACTTTTTTTAAAAGATTCTCTTCAATTGATTTCATGGGATTTAAGCTCCTCTGTTTTGACCTTACTTGTAGGTCAGATTTTACTGAGATTTGCATCCATATGTAGCCAGTGATGCTTATGCTACTCATGTCTTCCTTGAGTCTCAGCTGATTTCAATGAGCCTACTCTAAGTCTGTGTATATCTGATACCCACTGACAAAGCACCATCGATTTCTGCTGCTGGGCCAACATAATTGCCTCTGCCATTCTGTCCACAATACTTCACTCGTATGATCAATTGTCCCAATCCATTTCACATACTTGCTAGTGTAGCAGAGCATCAGACTGAGCCAGAAAGAGCTCCCACCCATAATAAAGCAAGTTGACTTTGCATCATTGAAATAGATGGGAAAGCAGAGCCAGAGGGCTATATTTTTCAAATACCATGCACCACAAAATGTGCAGCCACAGAACAGAGCTCACAACAGGTGCAAGTGTTTAGGTTTACAGCAGTGATCAAACTGCAGCTGTTAATCTGTGTCTGCAATACAGCTGTATACTTGGGAGGGTGCAAGCTGTACCCTCAGAAAGAGATGGCACCCTTTAAAATATGTGACTGTTCATAATCAAATGGAGCCTATATATAAAATTGGTATTTGGAATAGCTACCCAGAAATCTAACAAGAACAGATGCACTCCGAGGATTATTTTCATATCCCTCTGTCACTTCCTGGCACAAATATCTTGTTTGACACATACTCGGCATCCATACAAGTCCTACTGTTGAGTATTGGAGATACACAAATTGCTGTTTCCTTGGACTCGGGTCTATCTGCAGAGGCCAGCATTAAAGCCCATGTGCTCATTAGACAATGCAGAGTATGTTTATTTTGCTTTGGTTCCAGCATTCTCAACAAGTCTCTGTTATGTACTGAGGTGGAGGAAGAGGCAGTTATTTTTCTGGGTCATAGCATTTTCTCATTACTGGGGCAGAAATCTAGTCATCTCTTGGAGAATGTTTTTTCCTGCAGTTACGTGGTAATTCTTGAAAACTATGCAGTGTTCTTTAAACATAAATAAACATCTACAGTGCCTGGCTTAACATAATCCTCTGGTTCTCTCTCTCTCTCTGTCTCTCTGTCTCTCTGTCTGTCTGTCTGTCTGTGTGTCTATCCGTCCATCCTTATAGAAAGGTCTTTGGTGAATTGTGATGAGGCGATGTCTAGAAATAGGCTTCTAGCCTGAGGTCACAGGAAAAAAGTGTCAGCAACAGTTCCAGAAAAATAAAAATGCTGCAGTGGATTCCCTTCTGCCCACCTCGTGCTGGCACAAATTTCACCCCTATCACTGTGCCTACTGTCACCCTATGCAGCCGTACAGAAGGCCAAGAAAGCACAGAACTGGCTATAGACCGTTTGTCACTGTGGCTCTCTCTGCAAATGTATTTTTTCTGTGTGTTTTTGATTCCTTGACTGAAGAATCCATTTTTTTTTCAGTGTAGCGAGTGATTTGAAGCTGAAGGGCAGCAAGGAACAAAAGCTAAAATTGAAATTATAAAAAATTAAATTATATTCTGCCCCATAGTGCAACACAGTACATAAACTATTAAAAAACTATTAAACATTATAATATTAAAACTGGTATCTAAAACAAGTTTAAGAATATAAAACAATAATTTTTTAACTCTAGGGGGCGGTGCTCATCCCTGTTTCCAAGCCGTAGAGCCAGCGTTTGTCCAAAGACAGTTTCGGTTGTTACGTGGTCAGCTATACACGGAACACTGTTTACCTTCCCACCGAGGTGGTACCTATTTATCTACTCGCATTTGCATGCTTCCAAATTGCTAGGTTGGCTAGGAGCTGGGACAAAGCGACGGGAGCTCACTCCGTCACATGATCTTACGACTGCTGGTCTTCTGACCCTGCAGCACACAAAGGCTTCTGCTGTTTAGCCCACAGCGCCACCACATCCCCTAAAGACATTAGATGGATATAAGAACAGGAACCATAGTCATGTTAAAATTAAGTAGTAAAAGCATGTCTGAAGAGAAAGGTTTTCACTTGTTACCAAAAGGACAGGAGAGAGGAGCCCAGCCCAGCCTCTTCTGCTCACTGCTGTTCACACTTTTTAAAAAACAGCTCTAACAACTGTTTTGTGTTTGGGTGAGATGTGGTTAACTGATGAAAAAAGGAGTCAGTTTCCGGGATTGTCCCTTGTGTGGTGTCACTTTGTGAAAGTTAGCGAGCAGAAGAGAGTATCCTGTAGACCTTCTTGACTGCTGCCATCAGAGTTTAAACTTGATAACAGGGGTGGGTGAGAAGAGGGTAGGATCTTATAATAAAACATCTTTTGTGCAGAGTCCCGGCACTAGCTGGAAATGGGTGCACGCTTCACAAATTTGACAAAGTCATTTGACAGCAGAATTGCCTCCTTGCCTGAAGAGATTGGAAAGTATAGTAATTCCCAGAAACATCAGCCCATGCACTAAAACATGGCACCCAATATCATCCTACTGTTATTGCTGCAAGTGAAATGCCAAGAGCCAGAGGTCTGAACTAGAGATGGATGCAAATTTTAAAAATAATCAACAAATTGGTTCAAAAATTACTAATTCATTGATTTGTATTTGTATGAATCAATGCCCCCAACACATACAAATCAATGAATTTGTAGTGATTTTTTTTATTTGTCATTTCGTTTGTCTATAAAACATCCTCCCGGGCACCTAGAGACACCAAAATTGTAGGAAAGCTTCCTCAGACTCTCCTCTACAATCCCTCTAAGGCAGATGAAGACTGTGTTTCAGATGTCCAAGTTATACACCTACAAAGAGCCCCCTCCTGGAAAAATTTCCCTAGGCATCTAGAGATACCAAAACCATAGAGAAGCTTCTATTGACTCTCCTCTACAAGATCTCCCTGTTTGGTGAAGATTTGGTTTTCCCAAACCAGCTGCTGAAGGGCACTTTCCTGGGGAGACTGACTTTGTGGGTGTTTAACTTGGATGTTTGAAACTCAAACTTCACCCAACTTGCAGGGCTTGTAGAGGAGAGTCAGGGGAAGATTCTTTGCAAATTTGGTACTGCTAGATGTTTGAAGAGATATTTTATAGCATTTTAATTAAAAATTAATTGACAAATTGATTCATCAGTTCATCAGGAAAAAAACATTAATTCATAATTCATGATTTGTCAGCCTTGACAAATCATGAATCAAAACAAATTACTAATTTTTACAAATTACTAATTACTAAATTACTGATTACAAATTCTAATTTGTGCCCATTTCTAGTCTGAATTAACATTGTCAGGTGTCAGGGCAAAGTCTCAAGTGATTGTTACGGTTCTCCAGGTCCTCAGGCAGGAAGGCAAATCTGGATGGGTGGGGAATGTGTGTGTTCCACCTCTGGGACATTACAGGGACTTACTCTAAGGTCTCAGATTTGGCTTGGAAATGTTGCTATCAAAGCTTGGAGACCAACCTGCAAATTTACAGCACAATGCCATGAATGTCTAATTGGGACCAATCTCCATTGGGTTCAGTGGGACTTTCCTCCAGGCAAGGTCTATAGAGCTGTAACCATCCCCCCCTTTTTTTCTGAGCGGGAATTAAGAATGGAATTCAGCATACAGACCATTACAGAACTCACTTTGTGCCTTGGCTGGTTACTGCAAAGCAAGCCTCAGGTTATCAAATCAGCAGTTTTGCCATTCATTTTTCAGTTTGCCTCTTGCATGTATACTTTTGCGGTCAAATCCATTAGTAAGCTGTAGCGATAAACACCTGGACTCTATCAAAAACAAAGAGAGTTTTATTCTGTAAATGCAGCTAGCCTGTTGAACATACCAAGGAAAAAGTAACTGCATAATACAGAACTTGAACAGGGATTTTTTTAATGATGTGCCAGCATAAAAAAGATCAAAGACAAAAACCAAATCAATAGCAACTGGGTACCAGCAAAAGAACTATGGTTAAATCTTAAAGTAATCAGAAACAAAGACCCAAGACAGCCAAACTTTTTGCACATTTGCCCTCTTCATTAGGCTGAACATAAGCAAGAATGTGACTTTAAAGAAATTGCAAAGAGCTTTAATAACATGTGCATCTCTTTTAGACACCAGGGCACCCTAAAACAATGATCACCACTTCGTTTTTAACACCCTTGTATCCAGCACTGCTTTAGTCTGTCAGATCATATGTCGCTCCTCCTTGATTTTCCCCCCCATGATTACCTGCTGGAATTTGCCAGCTCAAATTTAACCATTTATTTGGTCTGACTCCCTCTTATCTGAAACGTCTCCTCAGAAACTGGAACAATCTGTCTGGCATCTGTTGATTGGCAGAGCAAATTTTTCCAGGTGGTACAACCAGACGCCCAGAATTACATGCCAACCCTATTTTGTCAGGAAATGTGATCAAAGCAGGGAAGCTCATATGACTAATGTTCAATGTCATGTTTAGTACCTGCAATGTATCTACATAAACAGTTTTCAATGACTACTAGTAGTGAAAAATGTTCAGGAGAAAGATACAAGTGAGAAGAAAGTTGACAGGCTGAAGCCTGAGGGGAAAGAAAAAGAGGCCCATCTGCACTTGATTTGTTCAGGATTTACAATCATGAAACTTTAACTCTGCAGATGATACATAAGATTATATGTACTTCAACCAGTTTATGCAAATAATATGCAGACTGCATAAGGCATGGGCCCAGGCAGTGTGGGTCTGGTACGCTTGAGGTTCATAAACTAATTTTACACAATTACAACATTTGGCAAACCAGTGCGGTGGTTTATTGAAACATAAATCCCATTAATCGTGAATATAAAGCATTCCAGACATGTAGTACAAATCCGCAGAAGGTAGTACAATCAAACATATGAATCCACGCTCTCTGAAACGCGCCGTCTGGAAAAAGATCCATTGCCCCAATCCAGCGGGAGGAGCACCATCCAGAAAGACTTCACTGTTCAGTAAACAAGGAAGCACTGAAGTAAAACAAGTCATTCAAATGGAAGTTTAAAATGACTCACCGTTATCAAAAGGAAGCTACCACTGCTGCTGAAATAGACAGAGAACCTTCCCTGTCACACACAAATATATTTGCTGCTTCTAAGGTGCAATTTGATCGCACTGGAAAGGGTTGCTTTGCAGGGAGAGCTCTCCCTCAAAGCAATCCTTCTGTCCACCAGGAACAGCCCTCAAAAGTAGTAGCCCCACAGCTAGATCAAAACGCTCCTGCTTGGTCATGGAGCAGGTTAGGGCTGGTATGCATTTCTTGTATGACTTATGATTGCAGGAAAACAGATCTCGCTGTGATCTATTTCTCCATGTGACCACACCCTAAGTGAGAGAAACCAGACCTTAAGGACGTCTGTTGGTAGTTACGCACATTGACCAGAAAATTATTCTTAATATTGCCAGACATACAGGAACTTGCTAAGGACTGATCTAATAAACAGCAACTGACACTGTGTCCATGTTTTAAAAACTCTTATCTCTATTTTAAGTTTCCATGTATCAGGTTGAAGAGCATTATGCTCTGAAAATATTTCTGGGATTCTCTGATAAGCCCTGACTCAAATTAAACCTTACATACCTGTTAAGGGGAGAAATTTTTTTAAGGCTATAAATGTCAGTTTAAATCACAAAGGAGAACAAATATTCCATTTGTAAAAACAGAATTATGATTTTCTGTTAAGGTAACTAATGGCCATTAGTGGATTGGGGGAGCCTAATTTGCAGCTGTTTCTTATTCGGGCTGGCTTTTTTTGTGAAACGGGGCTCCTGATATTTTCTTGCCAGTTAATATCTTGGAGAGCTCGAGGATAATTACAAATTACACAAGGGCAGAGACTGACGTTTTTCAGACATGACTGAAAGACTGTAATATTATCGTTCTGGTCATTTGCAATGCCTTAAGTACCTCATGATTAATTTATAACTTGATAAACCATTCTAATTCGCCTCCATTACTTTTCGAAAGACTGCCAGCTGAAAGACTTTCCCACTGAAGGCCAACAACTAAGTGGGGAATATTTTTTTTCACTCAAATGTTTTGCTGCTTGGACGTTATTCCACTCTGAAATATGGTGAGGAGTGGAGAGAATATTTGCGCCAAAATAAAATCATACCAGCAATATGGCTCTGAATTTCACTTATTTTCATTCTCTTCTTCAGTCACTTCTGGAGCCCTGGTGCTTAAGCTTTACTCATTTCATGCCTCCTGAGAGAAGAGCCAGCCTGTGTAGCCTAGGGAAAGTGACAGAGTCCCAGAAGAAGAAATGAGTAAACCACTTCTGAGTACTTTGTACCCAGGAAAACTTGGCAAGTGTTGCCATAAATTTGAAATGATTTAACTGCACATAATTAATTATTAGCAGCTTAGGACCCATCCAGACAGGTGAAAAAAGCAGGCCATTTTGCCCTTGTTACCGTCACTACTAGGGGTGTTTTGTGGAAATTATCACTTTCCAAATCCATAACCAGTATTTCTTTTCTTCCAGAATGGAATGGTACAGAACAACATTGCCTCATGACACCACACAACCTCCATCCTCTCCTCTGCTCTAGTCTCATCCCTTGTCATCCAACCATGTCTATGCCTCTTTCTCCTCAAAACAAGCTCAGTTGTGTTGGGAGATTGAGTCATGTACCAATTCTTGAAGCACTTTAAAAAAAAAGTCCACAGTGAGTCTAGCACAAATTTGGCTGAAACAGTAAAGTTCAGACAGCAAGAGGGGTGGTAAATATTCAACATTCACATAACTCCACTCAAAAGAAGTGCAAATATAAAAGAATCAGAAATCTGGTAGAGGGGCTTGTTTTTTACATGATGCTTCCCCACTTTTTTACAAAGAGTTGATCTGACAGGCAATTTCCAAATGAGACAGAGGAGCTTCCCCTGTCAAAGAGTGAGATCAAAAGCTGTCAGACAATTCTGGTATCACCCCTCTCCCACCCATCCATGGGAAAAAAACCCAGAACAAAGCAAATGGCATCAAATATGTTTTGGTAATTTTCATGCTACAAAAAAGTGTGATGCTCTATTAAACATAGGCACCGAAGTTGACTTTTGTTGTTCTCCAGCTGCTCTACAAACGTGCAACTGGAATTATTATCCATGAGATGTCTTTTTAAAAAGAGAGAGGGGAGAGAGAAAGATTGCTATTTTGTGACCCTTCAAGCAAGTATTTTGGTTACGGATAGGGATGAGCCTTTTGTGTGTGTAAGCAAAAGACCCAAAATACTTTTGGCAATAGCCAAAAGACAGCCTCTAAACCATGAATGATTCATGTTTACATAAGAGAAGTACACAAAAGTTTTGTATTTCTTTCATGCTCCCTCTTGATTTCCCTTGATTTCTTTGGGGAAATTTCCCCCCTTTTTTGTTTGTTTCTTTGTTTTGTTTTGTTTTTGGTCCTTTCCTTTCTTGGATTATTTTTGCTGCCTTTTGTACTCAAATAAGAGAAACAAGGCATGAAGTAATGGTGAAGAGACAAATATCCCCGTATTCTATGTTTTGGAGGACAGCTTTGCTTCCATCTTTTGCCTTTTCCTTCCTGGTATCTTTTCTTTTCTTTCTTTCTTTTTTGTGGGAGGGTAAGGGCTATGTGAATTTTTTTAACCATTTTTTTTCCTCCGTGGGGGAGTTTGCGCTTTCCTTGCTTCATTATCCTCTAAGCTGCTATTTGATTAATTTACTGTGTATTTATACCGTTAAAGGTGTATACTTTGGTGGGGCTGGTGGGCACTATTTTGTTGGCTTCTGTGTGTGAGGGGGGTACGGGCCAGAGAGGTGAACCTTTGACTGTGTCAGTGTACAGGCTGTGCGGGTGACGGCTGATGATTTTTCTTTCTCAAGTATTGTTGCCTGCTTTTGTAATAGAATTGATTCTCTGTTGCCTTGCCTCTGCTTTTTTGAAATAATTTTTAAAGGTTCTTTAGGGCTTTTGGAGTGCCATAAAACATGAATGGGGAAACACAGATGGCAAACTCAAAAGGTTCTCTTTTCCATGTACAACAAAAGGGCCAGTACACAATAAACCTTTACATCCCTGGAACTATTGCATGCAAGATCACAATATAGCTAGCATTTCCTCTCCTGAGATCATGTATAATATAGCAAGGAAATGTGTTTTAAAATATCACCTCAAAGCAGGTGTCTCAATAACTAGGAATGTGTATGATAAAATTTGTTTTAATTCTTTTGATGTGGGTTCTTTTATTTTTCATGCCTCTTTCATTTTCTGATTAAACCAGATAGTTAATGGGGATGATCTATCCTAATTCAGGCACTCTGTAGCATGTAAGTCTCCTCTCACGCTTTTGCCCTCTCCCTCACTCTGTCCTTATTTTTAATTCAGCAAAGATTTTTCACATGTGAGCTCCTGGAGACTGTTTCTTCCATAAAGATGCCTCACTTGAAGGACAGTCAGTTAATTCCTTGAACTTAACTTGCATCTACATATGTGCGGAATCTGCTTGTAGGTAGTGAAAACTAAACCTTGCTTTTGATTTTACAGAAGACCGCATAAGGACTTATTTTTCCTTTTCGGTCCAGTTACATGATGTTGACTCTAATTAGCCATGTAGAGTAGCTGCTGCCTACGAGTTCTTCCAAATAGCTCTACTAGTGTGACTTTAAAAAACAACAACTGTGTCTTTACTAAAAAGCACATCTTTTCCCCTTTCCCACTCTCCAGAATTTTTCCCATCCTGCAATAAAGCAATTAAGTACTCAGATTTGTGGCTGACAGACTGTCACAAACAGAGTTCCTGTAGCACTATATGGCACAGGAAGAGAAAGTTTCAGGAATATAAAGAAAAGAGTTATCCTTTTCCCTTTTTCTCCTCTTGAGACATTCTGTCATGTCCAAGCCCTAAATAGAACGGTCATGTTCAGGCTAATTCAAGCTGCCTGGAAACTGGAGGGATACTGCAACATTTTGTTATGCGTCCCAACTTGATTATTGATTTGAAGCAGCTATTATTAACCTTAATGGGGCCACAACCATAAACAAAATACAGTAGGGCTGGTGGTATCTGTGGGAACTGGTTCCAAGTTCCCCCCGCCCTGTGGATGCTAGAAAAAGTGGTAATACCATGCTTCCCTGAAAATAAGATAGAGTCTTATATTAATTTTGCTCCAAAAAAAGGCATTAGGGCTTATTTTCAGGGGATGCTTTATTTATTTTTTCATGTACAATCTATGTTTATTCAAAGACAGTCATGTCATCTTCTGCTGGTTGTTGCACAATGGTGGAGGGCGGGCTTTGACTTAACTAGGGCTTATTTTTGGGGTAAGGCTTATATTACGAGCATCCTGAAAAATCAGACTAGGGCTTATTTTAGGTCGTATTTTCAGGGAAACAGGTAGAATCCCTGGTATATAGCATAGTCTATGATTCCCTCTAGTGGCCAGTTCTAGTAATCCATCTTAGAAATGTGTGTTTCTGCAGGGTTTTGTTTAATAGTTTCAGGCAGTGGGTAAATGAAATTGTGGGTACTGACCCCACTGATATAGCAGTCCTACTGTATGAAAGAAATATAGGCAGAATCAGGATTGTATAAATTGTATAATAAGCCTTATAAGGTGGTGTGTGAAAAATTGCTTGCAGTCTGTGACCTCCTTCATATGTGGCAGGGGCCCCCAGGGGATCCTATGGACCAGACCCATTGAGAATGGCTGATTTAAAAGACATGTTTTCCATGGCTGCTCCTAGGGAACATCACCAACCCTAGGCTGCTGTGGTTGCCAGAAACAGTATCTTGTTTCACCACGTCCACCTTCCCTCCCCACCTTCATCTCAGGCTTACTGCTGAAACTGGCCCTTCTTCCAAAGGATAAGTCACCACAACTTGTTCTGCCATGCTAGTGGTCTGGGAAGACAAATAACAAGGTTGAAGTTGCCAGGCAACATCAGGATGGAATCCACAATCACAACTAGACAGAAAAGACAATTGCAATAAAGCTCTCACTTTTTAATTATGCTTCCCCTTGCCTGAAATGTGTTAACAAGGTTAAGGACATTAGCATTTTCTAACAATGTTTCCTAGGGACATCACTTTGAAACCTGCCTTCAGTTCTATGCTAGAGTAAGACTCCTCTTACCTACTGAAAGGCAGCATTGCTAAACTACACTAATAGAAAGCAGACATCGATACTATTCTGGGAAGACAAATGGTGTCATCTGTCACAACTGCATTAGCCTAGTATAAATGGTAGATGCTTGAAAAATACTAAAACTT